ACATGCCTACTTGCCAGAATAGAATAGGCATGCAAAAGCTGCAAATACATGTCTTCAGTAAAAGGTATGTGAATGCTACCAAATCACTGAATTTTAACACAAATATTTGAAAATGTAAAATAATAATAATGTTTGTTTCCATATTTTAGGAGCCCAGTGAGTACCTGGGAACACTAAGTGCAGTGGCTACAGTCGCCCACTGGGGTTGCATGCGCTAGTGCACTGTATGCGCTGGTCCTGAGCCCAGATATAATGGTAGGGTTGCATCAAAAAGGGCATCTGGCAAAAAAAATAAAACTGTGCCAGATCACATTTGTGGATCACAGTAATCTGCTGTGGTGACCCCCAAACATGATGGGGAGCAGACAGAAGAGGAACAACCAAGCGGCAACCTCAGAGACAGAAAAATGAAGCCAGTGCTGAAGTGCCAAAACCTGCAGTTCCTCAAATGGCCACTTGAGGCTGCCTCCAAAAGGGAGCCAGTCCCCATAAACTCCCATGTTAAAATGCCCAACTATACAGTACAAATAAACATGTTTACAGCCTGGTACAAAAACGGTTTTAGTTTCTACAGGTAAAACTGTACGAGGGGCGAATTTTTTGTAACTTGCCCATTTAAATTATAGTGAGGCACATAATTAAAGGTGTGGCTGCTTTGAGTGGCAAAACTGCTTTTCAGAAAACCAGTGGGTGACAGCACAGTGGGTTTGTCCATCTTTTATATACAGTCAGTGGGATCAACAACAACTTCAGGAGCGCAGCAGGTAACATTGGTGATTACAAATTTGGAATTAATCTCCTTGTAACTTATACACTCCAATCTACTAATTAATAGCATGGACTCATAAAGACAGGACTACTCAAGCTTAGTTAACAGGTGAAAACCAACCACTGACTTCAGTATGCTCGCTCATATTCATGCTGCTATCTTAGCACTCATTGGATGTTACAACAGTCCTTTTGTACTGCACGCTTACTACTGTGTAAAGCAGTGCAACATAAAAAAGTATAGTTTGTCACATTACAGATAATTTAATTAACTGGTTTTGTTCAAAAGTAGGATTTGGATTTTTGGACATAAATAATATTAGATAATTATGATTTTGCTGTATAGCATATGGTTAATCTTACTTTCCTTTAATGCCTCATCATATAACAGATCCCTGTTCTGTTAATTCATGCACAAGTGAATGAATAAACAAGTGCTGCACCCAAATGATCAAAATATAAGCAAGGAAAAAGTTTGTGGCATCAGAAAAACTACATGGCACATTAGTTAAATACATCATCTTCCACAATCCTTCCAAGTCTTTTCCCTTGAGAACACCTCACAAAAGGTGATAAAGAACTTCAGAGAAAACACACTGCTGCATACAGATGTTTAGTATCCTAATCCATTATGCAAAATTTCTCACATCGCATTTTGATTTTGGCTACTTTCTCTTGTTTCTCAAGTTTCCCTCTCAACCCAAGTGACTAAACAACAGCATTATTCTTCCTCACTTCTGTTCATATCCAGCTGTGTCCATTCACATGTAGAGCACGTGTGTCTGTGATTGCACACATGAAGAAGGACATTATTTTTTGAGGCACTGTGAAGTTAGATAGTAGGCTATATGTTCTCATTTGTAGTATAAAACATAGATATGCGGTGGTGGGTTTGGTAATGCCTGCTGTCAGTGTTGTCTCTTACTATGATATTACATCATATTCTTAGATCTTTAGCAGACTGAGTGAGTTTATTCTGTTATAAGATCTGTAAAAAGAGAGAGAGACAGAGAAAAAGAAAGAAAGTTGTGAAATTTAAGACATCTACGAATCACATTTCTGACAAAAAGGACACATTCTAGAAATTCCTTTGTATTCAGGTAAAGTGAACAAAATGTATAAATGCTTTTGTTCATGCTTAGCAATAATCTGCACTCATACAATCCAGCACCCAAGACAGTCCAGCCACAGCCTTAAACACTCGGTCACTGTGCCAGTCCACTGGAGCAAATACAGGTTAAGTGTCTTGCTCCAGGACATCTACAGTTTCTTTGACAGTTACAGGGTTCAACTGAGTTTACAGGACAGAAACAAACCAAAAAAATGTACTCACGGATGTTGTCAGTGGTCTCCTGCACAGTGTCAGTCTTGAGGAGGTTGTCAGCTAACATAAAAGCCCCGGTCTCCACAGTGTCGAGGAGCAGAGTGGCCGAGTGCAGCTGCTCGGTGGTGGGCAGCTCTTTCCATGCTGCATGGGCTCGTGGCTGCAGCAAATTATTCACCGTCTCCACCATAGCCTGGGGCAGCAATACAAACACTGAGGTCACATGGAGGAAGCCAACACTTTTATCACTTCAGTCAATGATATTAATGTGAGAATTAATGCAAATCCATTCATAGTACAAATCACACTGCTGCACTGTAACTACTGAGGACAGCAGTCCATGGGATGTAACAGTGAAAATGCAGTGGCTTTACATTTATCAAGTTGATAAATGTAAATGTTAGCAATGCACGAAATGTTAGCAATGCAAATATGGCATTCCCATGCAAACATAACAAAGGCTAAAACACTGAAGCTATGAAATAAAAAGTACATTTTCAAAGTTGTACTCCACTCTTCTATAATGTTAATTACCTTATTTTGTTCTCTTTATGAAACAATGCTGTGATAGAAAATCCATCACAGATGTTCTGAAAATCAAGCTAAGCTAATTAGCTGATTGCAATCACCATGTGTCTACACCCCCAATTCTGCTTTTCCTTTTTTAAGCATCAGTCTTATCTTCAAGTTGGAAAACTTGGGCTTGAGGGTCTGAGAAGAAATTACAATTTTATCATATCATGTCTGCTGGGTCATATCCAGTCACGCAGAACAGTTTTGACTCCAAAAATATTATTAAAGATAAAATATTACTAAAGAGAGAAGAACCGGCTCACATGGATGAAATGTTCTTCGTGAGACAATGCTTATTTTGTTTCCAGCTCACATTCCTTTAAACTGTTAAGAAATCAACTCCTCATTTTCAGACAAGAACACCACACATAGGCAGACACATTCGCATCTTAAGAAATCCCGGGACAGATAAAGAAGCAGAGAGAAAAGAGAGCCAGTGGAGAGGGGGAGAAGAATTGTAGAGTCATGGGAGAGCGATAAAACAGTCCAGTGAGTCCATGGTGACAGGCGTCCACTGGGAACAAGGGAGGCGGAAAAACGAACACAGGTGCTATGAAATGCACACATCTCACCCTCCCCGTCTGTCTCTTTATTTTCCGTGTCTGTAAACCATCCTTTCCACAAATGCACTCCCATCCCTCACTTATCTTTCACTCTTTCAGTTCTTCTCTCTTGAGGAGGGTGGATAGGAAGGTGAAAAAAAATAAAACGCAGGTGCCATTATACAAGCAAATGGTGTCCCCAAAGGGGAACAGCAAGGGCAGGGAGGAAGAGTGAGAGACATCAGTTTATTGGTATTCGCACATCAGCCATTTGACTGGCTCCCTGTCCCCTTTCACTCAGGGTTAGAGAGAAGGAAGAAACCAGAAGGAAGGAGTGCAGGCAGAGGCTGTGCTGAAGGAAAGACTATGTTCTTATTTGTGTGACAAAGGAGTTGGATCATCAGCTACAAAACGTGCATTTGGCCTCTGGAATCAGAACTAATAATACTACCTGTTTATTTTGGGGGTGTGATATCCACATGTCGATACAGTATATCATAAACATGAAACAGGTGCTTAGCCAACAAGCAAATATGATAATATTTTGTCCTCTTTTAGCGCTAGCAGCTAATTAGTTGAGATGCATATCTGATGACTTTGGGAAGACTATATGTAAACAAAAACTAATTAATCTGCTGCTTTAGCAAACATCAAGAATAAGCAGGAAGGGGTATAGAACACCCACATGCATAACACATACACCAGCAAATCTGTCTCTCCATCATTTCACTGGCTGTGACAGACGACCACAAGCTGTGATACTTCTTCAGAGGAAAATCCAGGTTTATTCTATGATGGGTTATGTTCTCCTTAATTCTTCTGGTCATTTGGATTCATTATAATAACACTGTACTAACCAAAGCCAGTGCTGAGATTTGGGAATATGATGGCAAGCCAAACAATGCCAGATGTGGTCAGATGATCCGACAGTAGCTAGTGCTACAACAATCCATGAACTGAATTGATTGATTGATATATTATTGTAAGTAAAACAATAAAAATGTCCATTTAATATCCAAATTTCAAGGTACATGAAGAACACCATCTGCCAAAATATTTGATTATGAATCTACCTTTTTCCATTAAACCACTGGAAATTGAATTTAAAAAGCCATCCTTTTACTCTTTGTCCTCTTCCTGTGTTTGAAAATCATAAACACTTGCAGTCATACAAGATAAAAATGGTTAAACTCAACAGAAACAACAGCTTCATTTATAGTGTAAATCTAGACTTAGACCCCTAAAATGTTGTTTACTCTGGAGAATTCATTAATTGCTGTAATTGCTGAAGTCATGTATCAAGGACAAATACCAAATGTTCTGGTTCCAGCTTATCTAAAGTGAAGATTTTGTTACGTCCAGGGATCGATCAGCCGTCCCCGGCACCTCGGCAGCTGTTACCGGGGCTATCAGTGACTCCACCCCTGCTCACGTAGGAGCACGCGGCGACGAGGCACACCTGCGCTCAATTAGCTGAACCATACTTAAACACAGCGCTGGTGTGTCCTCGTCGCCAGCTGCGTCCGAAACCGCATACTGTGACAGTACGTACTGAAAGAGATGAAGTACCTACTTACTGACCGTTAAAACAGTAGGTACTGTATAGTATGAAGCCTGGTAGTATGAATGAGATTCGGACATACTACATCCGCCATTTTGATACATCACGTGACATACGTTTTCATCCTCTCCCGGGGCATCATGGGATAGTGAAGTGTCCATCGTATGCACACTGCAAAATCCAACCGGAAGCAGTAGGTCATCCGGGTACTTTTCGCTTTTTTTCTCAGTCTTCTGCCGGCGACTTTGCGTGTTTCACGTCCTGGATCCTGATGTCTACTAAGATCGTCCTACCCTGGTATATTAATGTTATCCACTGTGTCGACTTGAGTGAGTTTCTCTGTCTTGTTTACGGTTTATTTTGAACTCATTACCGAGGAGTATCTTCTGCTATTTTTGGAACTGACTATTGGGGAGATCTTATGTTTATTCTGAACTCATTACCAAGGAGTATCTTCTGTTATTTTGAACTGATGATGGAGGAGTGTCTTATGTTTTTTTGTTTTCTAAACTGATTATGGAGGAGTGTCCTGTTTTTTGAACTGTTGCCTGGTGCCGCCTATATCTCCGTGGGTCTTGCTGCCGAGCGACGATCGTTGGTTGGGGTCCATATCAAGTGCCTGGGTCAGTGAAGCGTGGGCGCTTGTTCCTGTCTGCATACCTCGGCGCTGGGTTCCAAGCACGCTCTCCAGCCCGGAGCCAGCAGTCCCCTATACGCAGGTTACCTGTGTTGTGCTCTACGTCATCACACCACCCTCATCCGCCTGTTGTCCCCTAATCTCCTTCTCTATACGCAGTGCCAAAACCTCTCCTCCGACCCCAGGCGGCTTCTCCAGTGGTCCAGTCATTTCAGCGGCCCCAAACACCCGAGACCCACGCCGGCAGCTCGCGTCTGATCCTCGCCACCTCCTTTCCTTTCCATACTCTGTCAAATAAATATCTTTCTCTGACCTGAGTTTGAGTCCTGCCTATTACTGAGTCCAGTCGCTCTTTTGGTGTGTGGCTTGCCGTAACAGATTTGTTGTTTTTCTGTTTGGTTTTTGGTGTGTGAACTGGATAAGACAATTTGACAGTGGTAGAGGAAGTACTCAGATCCCTTACTTACTAAAATGTTGCTATTAATCCCTCATTGTAGAGTATAGGTCAAGGTTTAACCAGGAATACAATCCTCAAATGTATATTAAACGTTAACATACACAGCAGAAGGTAAATTAAGCATTTGCTTTCATTTTCTTTTCCAAATGCCTTTGTCTCACGTGAGAAGTATCTGGAAGCCTGTACAACTTTTGAT